CCCCCGCCCCGCCTCGTTTCAATCTCCGTCCCGGCTCGTCTGTTCCGTCCCGCCCCAGCTCGTCCTTCCCTGCCTCTCCTTGCTCAAGCTCAGGAACTCAGGGCTCCTGCTCCGTCGTAATTTAGCTGCCCATCTTCTCCGCTTGCTTCTCACTATTCATCTCTCAGCATCCGGCCCTTCACGTTCTGCGGAATCGCTATGCCCAGTCCGATTCCGTCTGCCTGTTTCACATATGTATCTTGGTCTACAGATATTCAATTACCCCCATCCGCCCCGCCCCTTCTCCATCTACTCCACCTCCATCTGTGCCCACCTATTCCGCTTCGGCCTGCTTCCCATGTGTCACTATTATGCACATCAGACACTTCTTTTATCACGCTCCACACGTATTGTAGGTTTTTCCTATCCCGCTAGGTTTCACCTCTTCTCCTTTTGCGACCCCAAGACATCTCCATCTTGTCACAATTCGCACCCTTCATCCCACTTCCTTCGTCTCTCCCGACCACCTCTATACGTTGCACCACTTTCTCGTCTCCGATTCTCTTTTTTCGTGTTCTCTCAGGCTATTTTCCACTTCGACTCTCTTTTCCCGCTTGGTCCCGCTTCTTGTTGGTGCATCACCCATCTTACTCGTAGTTTCCTCGGAGCTAAACCTTTTCCCCACCCCCACCCACACCTCACCTCATCCCATACCTTCTGTTCCCTCTGCCAGCCGCTCGTCCCGGCGCTTGGGGCTGTTCGCCAATCGACCCCCCAGGCCCCGGTGGGTGCCCACGGGGACGCGGCTACAAAAGGCGCTGCCCTCGTCGAGCGCTGTGACAGTTCCAGCGCCCGCGAGCAACGCTCTTGAACCTCTTTTGTCATTATTAATATTAGTCGTGCTCACAATGAGAGCAAGCGAGCGGAAGGAAGTTGTTTTTTTAACCTCCTTCGCGCAGACGGTGTAGCGGCAAGGCGCGTTTTCATTTCTGTTTTGTTACGATTCAGTTTGTGGAGAATTTATTCAACGTTTCAACGTTCTTTCAGGTCTTTTTTTGGAGAGGGAGACTGTGCGACATATATTCAATAACATATTTTTTATTTTGATTTTGAACTCACATCGTGAAATTATTTTTAATTGGTAGTCCCACGTATGATTCACGACTTAGAATGAAAAAAATATATTTTCTTGCATTGTTCTAATAATTTAAGTTTTTTACATGCAGTTCTTTTTAGAAAAAAAATATTAAGCAATATAGAGAAACATAACTTTTGGTTTAGGATGTTAACAAAGGTTAATTTATAAGGATACCATTAGACACCCTGAAATGTGGAATATTTCCATCACAATTCATTAACCATTTTCGTATATTGTATACTCATCAAGGTCAATAAATTAACACTTTTATTGTTGCATTCCCAAACAAAACATTGGAGATAATAGTTCTGAGTGGTGATGGTGATGGTAATGGCGTTTCAGGGACAGCGTGTACATGCGCCTGGACAGCATCCCGGCGGCGCTGCGCGACCTGAGTAACCAGCTGGCCCCGGCCCCCGCGCCCGCCTCGGCCTCCACGCCCACGCACCGGCCGCGCTCGTCGCTCGTCAAGACGCCCGTGTCGGCCGGCCGGCGCCCGCGCAACAGCGCCGCCAAGGCACGCCGCGCACGCACCCCCAGGTGAGCACCACGACCACTCTCACGCGCACGCTCACGCCCACTTTCGTGCTCATGCCTACTCACGCTTGCGCTCGCGCTCCTAATCATTCTCACGCTCACAGCTACTGTCAGGCTCACAGCTGCTGTCAGGCT